ATCACTACTTGCTCTTATAAAAAGTCCCTATCACACTGCCCCATTGCAGATTTATGCCTGTCCTCTGTCTTGAAGCTAGAGCTCCTGCCTGGGATGGCAGCAAACTGTAATCTGAGCAGTAGCAGGGACTCACCTTGCCAATGCTCTGGACCACCTTTGCGATGTAAACATAGCCTCCGTTTCACTGGTCTCAGAGTTGCTCCATCACAGCAAAGAAACACTGAAATCCCTCACATTTACCCCTGTGCTGAGATGAAAGGGTAATATTCTCAGTTTGCAGCAAGTGACACAAGAGTTGAGGACTCTCATGGCACTCTCCCTGCACATGAGTTTGTGAGACTAGGGCTTGTGGGTAGAGAGCTTCCCTGAACTAGAACTGCATTTCCACATTATTTCTCAGTCCCTGCTTTCCCACCAGCCAGCATCAAAGACAGGGAGTTTCAGAAGCAGCCTCCAGCTTTTTCCACACTCCGTGTATTTTGGCAGCTTTCTCTAATGAATAGCAATCTCTTTGGAAGGTTGTAAAGAATGGATTTCTTTTCTCCCAAAACATAAAGAGATTCTTAATAGGGTATCAAACAGGTCTTGAAGCCTAATGTAACCCATTTGCAATACCTCTGCCTTTCAGAAGTCAGCAGAATGCACAGATCTATCACTGTGGTGCTCTGCAAATCCGCTTTCAAAATACACTGCATACAAAATAACTCACAGAGACTTAAATACGTTAATAACTTAAGAACCTAAATAAGCTGATATTTGATGTGACCTACATTAATGGGGAGGCATTACATGGCAGATAAGCAGGAAGTTCTCATCTATTGTATAATACATTATTTATTCATACCACAAACATACTGAGCAAAGGATATGCTCTCGCATTCTGTCTACTTATTTTTCCTCCAGAAAAAAAAAATAATAAAAATGATGTAAGAAGATCATGCTGGTGAGAAGATATTCATATCACAACAGAAACAGACTTAGTGGCAGAGCTGCCAGATACTGCTTTATGGTTGGAAAGATATAGAGAAAAGCACATAGGCACTGTGCACCCACAATTCTAACTACCAGCCTAAGAGTGGAAGCCATTCATTAAAGAGGCTAATGGCTTTACCCTGACTCATATCATTGCATTAATAAAAATCATCTGTAAAAGCATCAATTCCTGCTGTACTGTAAATGAGACAGTGGCTGAGTGTGCACTGCAGCTGCAAGATAAGGCACTAGAAAGACATCTAAATTTTTGGCTAATTCTAGATGTCAAGATAATTGGATTTTCCAAATTAAACCTTTCTGTAAGTAAAAAGGACTAAGGGTAAGGACTGTAGCAGGAGCTACGGTCACTGTTATGAACAATTTTTTGCTACAGTGCCATATTTCTTCCATGTCTGCTCTAAGCCTGCAAAATGGCAAGAGCTTCATAAAAATATTGAAGTAGTTATATCATTTGCCATTAGAAGTTTACATGGGAAAGCTTTGTTTCTTGTGCATCTACCTATTCATTTTATGAGCTCTTAACAGGATTTTAGTGCATGGTGAAGGGACAATATAAGGTTGTTCAGGCTAAAGTTTGAGTTTTATTAAAAGGTCTGTGAAATGTAACATTACTACATATGATAGAATGTAAGGATATTGCAGGGGCAAGGTGCTCAGAGGAGTAGGTGTTGTTGGGTCAAATATATGTTTAAACACTTGATCAAAACAAATTTTTTGTATAAGAATGTCTTTTGGCTTTTTAATTGTCATGATAGCAATGTGCATCCCTCAAACCTTGTGAATGCTTGTGTTTCATGAAGGAATTATTTGGTACTTCAATAAAGGTGCTGACAATATAAATACTCCTTGAGACACTTTGTCTCCAGATGGTTTCTCTGAAGACTTTCTCTGATACCCCACACTTCCAAAACCGGGATATAAACCTCCTGACAGAGCAAAGTGAGTCAGTCCCGTAACTACAAAAAGAAATCTTCCCTATCATCAGATTACAGCCTCTTTTTGAGCTAGTTTTACATCTTTGCTGGAGCAATAGATTTTGTCCACTGCTAAGATAAACCACCAAATTCAGTGAACTTATGTCAGTCATAATCCTTACATTATTGTACATTGCTAGAGGACCTCTTTCTTATAGTTTAAGGTCATCTCAAGGATTTCAGTTTTTCTAGCTCTGCTGGAATTGAAGGCTGGAATGTAGCATCATGTGATGAGATGAGATAACATTGCAGAGCTCACTTGCAGGATATGACAAAAAAAAAATCATCTTTCTTTATCACCTTCATCAGTTTAGCAGCTACCCCCATACTCATGAAACAGCCTGATGCTTCTTCCATCCAAGGCCATAACAGCAACATCCTCCCTGGTGTATCTGAGAGGATGCTGCAGAAAGGACCCTTCAGATGAAAATAAGCCAAAGCATGTGCAATTGGGGAAGGAAAAAAAACCCCCACGTTTGTCCTGTCCTCTCTGCAGGAACTCTCATGAAAGTCTGTTGGAGCCCTTGCAATCCTCTTGACACTGTGACTGTACCCTGATGCATGGTGTACAGCATGGCAGATGATATTCTGTAGGTATTCCTGTTTCCTGGACACACTGCCAGATATCCATCCACATGTATGGACTTCAGTGCATAAAAGCTTAGGCAGAAAAATCCTTAGGGATTTCATCATATAAAGTTTTCTCCTCCAAAGTTTTTATGGGCTTAAGTTTTATATCCTGAAAGACTTTACCCTGTAAAAATCCAAGAGGATAATAAAACAAATAGCATCTATGTCCAGGGTCGGTAGCTTAGGGAAAAAAAATGCTCCTGGGTAATAATAATACCTTCAGTAGCAGTATTGACCAGAAACTACAGATCTATTCTTTTCCCCATTGGCTGACATTTTACCGTTATTGCCCTCTGCTGTGCAGGACAGCCATGGGTACATGGCAATGCAGAGATATTATAGCCATGACTTTGAACTGTTCTTGGGGACGATAAAGCCAAAAGAGAACTTTTCAGGCAGAATACAGCGCTTTTCCAGTCCAGATTAGGAAATGGATACCAATCTATAGAAAATAAGCAGAATATCCTGTATCTCACACAGAATAAGGCTGACCTAATTCTGTGCCTATATTTACATATGAAATTCAGTAAAACTTGAACAAGTAGGCCTCTGGTTTTTTTTTTTAATGTACCTTGGAAAGCTAGATTGGTGCTATTGTTTTGCTGCTGATCCTCTAAGGGCCGTGGGTGACAAGATACTTAAAGTCCATAGAAATACAAAATCCTAAAATCACTTTCCTATAAATCAGTGCAGACTAGTAAGTATTGCCGCTGGAAGGAATGGGCACAGGATCCATTCATGGACCTCCAAGCTCTTGGCAGGACACACTTGCTATTTTCTGGTCTGATATCTCCAGATCTGTGGCATTAACCATGGATAACACGGCTGTGCCCATAGAAAATTGCAACTCCTTCTCACTGGGAGGGAAAGCTATTACTGCCCCAGGTGGTCATGATACTTTTGCACACATCTGAAGCTTTTTAATGTTCCAGGGCTACATGCGAGCCACTCCAGACTGCTTCCATTCCAGGAAATGCAGGACAATGGGCTGACTAAATACTGTAATCTAAAAATATAAACAAATCCCCAGTGACAACCTTGACATCCAGGTAGAGTATTCAGTGTAAGAGTACTCCAGACACATGTGTGACAGCCTATCCCAATATCTGCTTAAAACAATTCTATAGAATTTCTGCATACCCCATACTAATAAACAGAATGGAAATAAAGTGGCATACAGCCATATTAGAGGACCTGTTGTCTAAAGCTATTAAAGAGAGGACACAGGTATTTAACTAACTGGCACTCTCAGCCTTCCATTCTGGGTTGGTGGAAGCAGTCATCAGCTAAACATATGACTCACGGAGGCATGCTGTTTCTTAAATATTTTTACATAGGTGGAGGATAGACTGGAGAATAAAAGGGAGGACTTGTCAATAAAATACCAAACTAGTCCCATGATACCTCCAGTGTATAAAGTGATCTTGGAGATTCATACATCCTGTTAAAAAAATGTATCTTTTACTCTCTTACTTTTCTGACCATCTCTATTAACTTTGTGTGGCTGTTTGCCTGAGGACATCAGGACATAAGGACCTCCAGTTCTCATAATTCCCTCACTACATCCTCAAAATCTTCCTGAGCACATCTTACATCCCAGTTTCCAGAAAGGACTGCCCATGTCAAGGAGACAAAATCTTTTTTAGCAGCAGATGCAGCTGAAGCAGCACTGCATGTGGTCTTAGCCAAAAGCAACCCAGGAGGAGCTGCAGTTCAATCTCCCTTGCATTGATCAATGAGAATACTGAGCAAGACTGTTTCCAGACTGGTAGCTCTGGCAGTTCCAGCACCAGTTCATTGGGGTCCACTAAGTGTGAAATCCACCTCTGCATGAGACCAGCACAATGCATCATCTGAGTCATTTTTAAGGGATGACAAGGTTCATAAGCTTCATGTTGCCCTCTGCACAGAAGTGAATTTTACTCAATGCAAATGGTGTTTAAATGCAATATTTTAAGACTAATATTCCGTATAGGCAGAGTGTCGAATTCATGCCAACCCAAGGGGTAATATGAATGCTTAGTATTGTTTAACCAACTCCCAAGGACTGAGTAAAACCCTCAGATGAAAGATATGACCTTCAGAGGACATGGAATCACTTTTTCTTTTCCTCTAAAAGTTAATTTATCTAATACTTTTCTCTTCATTGAAGACATAGACTCGCTGCACTGAAAACTGTTTACAAATGTTCTTTCTCCATTAAATGGATTTTCTGAGTATAGATAGGCAAGTGTTTTCTGGAACTAATTTAAATTCTCATCTAATTAATATTCAAGACCAAAATTTGTTATCTTTGCATGACTGTGCAATTATTAAAAGGAAAATATAATCTGTGAAAGTTTTTTTTTTTTCCTAACTAGCCATGAACAGACATGTGATATATAATTTTTTCACCTGTTTTAGGCTATGCTTGCAGAAGCCATCACTACAGAAACATCTTTTTCTGCTATGTACACACCACTTGGGACAGAAATCAAAGCTGATGAAAGAAACAAGTTAAAGACCAGGTTTGCTAAAAAGCACCCTGATTATGTGGAGCACATATATACAGGTAACAGCAGATTTCACATGTCCTTAAGCTCTGTATACTGTTGCTTGAATGGCTGACTTACTTAAAAAGAGTTTGAGAGAGGCTGGAGAGTGAGCTCCAGACATTTCTACACTTCGGGGGGAGAGGAAGGAGAGGGGAAATAAATATCTAAAATTTGCTTTATGATTGCACATGATTCAGGTAATCAAATCAGTACCCGGGCCAAGTACAGACTTTACACTGCAAATCCCATAAAGATGATTTTTATCCATGAAGCCCCATGTTTGAATTGTTGAATTTTGTTATTGTAACTAATATTTTGTTCAAGCGTAGATTTGCAGTGCATTGCAGTGGCAGTGAGACCCAAGCTCATTCTCATTCTCTGTGGGTTTCCATCTGTCACTGATGGTCGTCCCTGCAGCAGGGGCTTCACTTTCCAAAATTATCCTCACTTCTATGAGCACTAATAGACTGACTGACACTTTTAAGAGCATCTCAGCTGCAGGAATGGGGATAGCCAGGTTTCCTTTAGCCTGCTAAAGACAAGTAGAATCAGAGTGAACAAGGCCTTTGCAGAGCCCTTTGTCAGCTCCTGGCAGAGTGAACTTAAATAGCATCTCCTGGAGTAAACAGATGTTTAAATTCTGCTGACCACAGCCTTATTTCAGGCATGACATTTTGGCAAAAGAGAGGCAGGGGGATAAAAGGCATTTCTTACTACCATTAATGTGGTGACTTGGAGCATAGCTGACCCTGATGATGTTTGACCTTGAGTTTGATTTAGAAACGTAAAGGGAAAAGTAAATGTCTCAGGTGAAATTCTGGGAATCCTCTATCTTCATCACACAAACTGAATGTGTAGCTCACCTCTTACTGCCACTTCCAGCAGGGTCACCCAAAGGGCTGAAGTGCTGCCTGCTCCCTGCAAGAGTTAGACCCAGGTCAGACAGCTTCATCCTTGCAGCACTGCTGAGCCCCAGTACTCAGCAGATAAGTAAGACTTCCAAAAGGACACACATTGTGTCTTTGGGGAGGAAAAGAAAACCTATTTGTAAATAGGAAACAGGAAACCAAATGTTTACCACGAAACTCTGCAAATATTGAACACAAGTAAACTCATTTTGTTCATTTTTGTTTTGCTTTAAGGAAACCAGTGTAAAGCTAGATTGTGTCTTGCAAGCTGCAAACCACCCATGTACTGGATTTCTGGCAGTAGCTTTGGGGTTGTTCAAAGGGGGAAAATAATGACTTATCTATCATGGTGGTTGTAGAATCCCTGTCTACTGTTTACTTTCTTTCTAATATGATTTTGTGAAGAATTTCCTGGGACAAAAGTATTGGCATTAAAAGGAGCATAAAATAAAACTCCCTGAACCTGATTTTAAAAAAGATTAATTAAAGATTAATTTTAAAAGATAAACTAAATATAAATTAAAAAGATAAATTTAAAAAAAGATAAAATAAAAAAGATAAACCCCCTCAATTTACTTGAGCATACTCAAGTAAAGAGTGAGACTTCCAAGAGCACATGAGCAGAAAAGGTGTGCAAGTGCTGTGCTGAAACTCAGTTTGTGTTCATAAGCCACTGAATGACTCTGAGAGCGTCATCAGCCATTTTCTCACTCCTCCCAGTAAGGAAAAGGAAGAAGTTAAAAAAAGGGGGAAGGTGTAAAAGATCTCAGTCCTATAGTACTTTATAATTATAACATATAGTCAATTATAAAATAGATTGAATAGGGCCAGATCTGCCTTCAAATCCATTTGTTTACAAAAATCTATCAGTTAAAAGAAGCTCCAATTCTAGTACATTTCTCTGACTGCAGGTTCTGAAGTTTCTAGGAGTTAAGTAGGATAAAATGCCAAGAAAAAACAATATGGGTATCAGGCTCTTGAAAGTGCAGTGGTGTTAGATGTCTCTCACAGACAGGACCTCTCCCAAGCTCCCTCCTTTCTGTCCCATAAACACAGCAGACACAGCTGCTTTTCTGAGATGATGCTGAGATAACTCACAACAGTGTTAGATGAGGTCCACCAAAGCAGAAGGGTTACTCAACTTGTCTATTCATGTCTGACCTAAAATCACACTGCCCACCAAAAAAAAATGTCACAAAGCAACAAGTTTAGCTCATTGTCAGTGTGGTACCACTGAGCATTCAACCTGCAGGTCTGTATCTCAAATAGCTGAAATTAGAAATATGAGCTAAACCCCATTTTAACAGTGGGTGTGAAATACCAGACTTCTCACGAACATGTTATTTTAAATAACCTTCCTATTCTGTAACAATTATCTGTCCAATTTTAGTCCAAGTTCTGCTAGAGTGTAAAGATTGAATTGATTTCAAAGTTTTCCGAATTGCCAAGGAAAAGGAGCAGATACACATTTAAAACCAAGTATACAATGCAGTTTGTTGCAAAACTGAGAATCCATTAAAAGCAGAATATGCTGCAAGGGAAATATCAGGTCCACTCATTTTGATTTATATAGGGGTAAGTTCAGAGAGCTCTGAGTGGGGTTCTCCATTTGTCACTCTGACCACACAGCCTGGCATCTTAAAAGCAGAGCTCACTGAAAACAGAGCACTGCTTTGTGAAAAGTGACACTGACATTCAATCTAGGTTTATTTTTTGCAGGGCAAGAGGAGGGAGGAAAGGGCTGGTCTGGTTTCCTTAGCAGAGGTGGTTTAAACAATTACTCTGAGCATCTGTCCTTGTTGAGGTCAGGGCATACCAACTCAGCTAATACACAGGGGTTTTGGCAGCAGCAGTCACAAACTCTGGACAAACCGCAGCACATGCTGTTACATACCAGCTGGGTGGATCAGAAAAGACATGCAGGAAGCCTGGGATTACAGTGGTGGTGATGGTTAAAGCACAAACCTGTAGGAAATAAACCTCAAAAATTCAGGGAATAACAAAACAGCTTCTTTGCAGTAAAAAGATCACTATGTTATGTTACTGAAGCGGTGAGTTATTAATGCTTTGGATTATCAGCATTGAAAAATACAGAAATGAAAAAGACAAGTTTTATCTTATGCATCAGCAACATTAAAGCTGTTGATGCAAAAGTCTGCAAAATCTGGAATTTCGAAACCCCAGTTATAGCTGGATGGGCTAGCTTAGTCACCTTTGTTTTGGCAAGCTTTTGGGACTATATTTCACTCTTTCTTAGACTTCCTCTCTTTTCCGGGGATGGGGGGATGGGGGGAATGAAAAAGAAAAGAAAAAAAAAAAAAAGTAACTTCTGTTACAACTGAAAAGAAATGTGACAGTGGGAATTATTTTCATTTCCTATTCCAGATCCTCATGGACTTCACATCTTGCCACAGTCGTGTGAGTGGCTGGCTGAGCCTCCCCAGAAGTACTCGTTGACTCTGGGTTTCAGAAACGAACATATTGGAAAAATCTTGGAAAGGTGGTCAAACAAAAAACTGCCAATCTTTTCAGGTACTCCAACCTGCTTAATAGCTGGGACAGCTCAGGGGAGACCTCCGTGATCCTTGCTAAATGAGGGAGGGTGGTGGTTTCTCAGGATCCATTTCTCTGTGCTGGCAGCCCCAACTTTCCAGATATCTCTCCCCATACTCCTCTCTCTTCCTTCAGTTTCCCTGTCTTCCTGCTAGATCCTCTGTGGAAAATGTATACAGGTAAACACAGTATATGATTTTGTGATTTCATTTCCTAGACCGGAAAACACCTTTCTGTCCTCTCACCGAAGAAGAAACAAAAAGATATTGGGATTACACTGGGGAAAAGATCATGCCAGTAATAAATTTTATAAGAAGCACCAAATTAACTGTGAGTATAAAATTCCCTTTCTGGCGTATAGTGTGTATGGCAGCAGAAGCTTGTGCATGTGTAAATGATGTGTGGTTTTTGGTGGGTAATTCATTCTGCACATTCTCCTCCTGTGTCCAGAAATGCTCAGTGAATTGCATTAAGAACAGAGTTCAAATGAGGTTTAGATACTTTTAAAAAGTACCCCTAATTATTTGACAATGTACCCAGTTTATTTAAAATCACTTTGCATGCAATTTTCTCAAATCTTTATGGCCTATTATATTATATCCCTACTTCACACAACCACCAAAACAACTTGCTATATTTAATACCCATAGTTTACTACACATATCACCAGGATCTCCATCAAGACTTAATAATTGCTACTTGAAACATTTCTAGTGCTTTAGATCCTGATCCCTACGTAGTGAAGTATGTGAAATAACCTTCAAATCTGCTACAACCATACTGAAGGTATATTAGTTAATTCTACTCCATACTTTCTGCAATAATGTACACAGCTTTTTAGCACCATGGCTTTTGATTAGCACAAAAGGTCAAAAATCAAATTTGCATGTAGACTAGACTGTTTTAATGCAATACTTAAATTATTCTCCTGAAAATAAGTGGAAAAAGCCTCTCTTCCCCAGACTGTAAATGCTAATGTTAATGCTTCTTCCCTCGCAATAACAGTTTTTTAGTTTTCTGTATGTTGAAGGGATCAGAGCCATTTCCTTGTATGGGGTGTCTTAGCAAATCACAGGATTTATATTCTTAGGTTTTGATACCAGATAGGAGGTTGACAAAAACTGCTACTTAGCAACCCCTAGCAAGGAGGAAACATTAGCTAGATATTTGGGGAATCTGTATCTCCTTTACTTTTGGAGAGCAGCTGCTGAAACAGCAGTAAGTGCTTGAACTTACATGGTTAGTGGGAGGTAAAGGTGCTTAGTGCTTCGCCAAAATGGGCGCTCATAAAGCATCTGTATCAGTGTGAGGCAGGTGGAGGAGGCTGAGGTCAGACACCCCTGAGTAAACACAGAACTACTTCTTTCCAGTTCTTTCCTGAAGCCATGTGCTGTTGGCTTCAGATGACCAAAAGCCCAAGTTATTAATGTGCAGGCTAATGGAAATGGCATCTTATGAAAAGTGAAATACCCATCACTGCTGTTTGCATTGCACTTTGAATGTTTCAGAAGCTTGAAGTATAAACAGACAGCAGGTGGGTACTGGATACAGAATAAAACCCTGATCTTTCTGAAAACCCCAGTAAAAGTCCAATGAAAGTATATATATATGTATATAAAATGCTTTCTTTGGGTATAACATGGAGCTTTCAGAGGTGAGATTCCTCTATTGCAGTTAATCAGTCTTTAAAGAGTATCAGGAGAGGACAAAAGAAAAAATTGAAATCTCATACTCTTTGGATTCCCCATAACAACCCTGATCTATAAATGAATTTGGAGGAACTGGACCATATGGTACAAGCAGAGATACATGGTATCTGCTATGCAGGGTGTAAGGAAAAGGAACTCATCATGTAAGAGATGAGAGTGGTATATTAGGGTTGCCCAAGCCAGTCTCCACTAGCTATATGAATTTGCACTGCTCCTACACAGTAATATTTTCAATGAGGTCTAGACCTCACCTCATGCATTTAAATAGTCTTGCTGAAACAAAAGAAAGCTCCCAGAACCATTGACGTCAGCAGCAAAGATGCCTTTTTTTTCAAGGAGGTCAGCACAACATTCCTGTGTTTCAGGCCAGGTCTATCCCAGTGCCACCTCCAGCAGCAGCAAGAATGTGATAACAGGTCTGAACCTTCATCCTAGAGATTTATAACTAGCACCCAAGGGGTCAGTATGGGAGCTTTAATGGAGAGGAGGAAAGACACAAGATAGAAGAAATTATCACTGAGTTAGAACAAACAGCTGCCAATTCCACATCCATTATCAGCGGAAACATATTCACTTTCCCTTCAGTTTTTATAGTGTTGAATGATCCAGGCAAGACAGAACCTCTGACCCAAAGAGCAAATGACAAAGCTAATTATGCCTGATAATAGAGATAGGCATGGAGCCAGGACTGCTCTGCTGCTGGTGATTAAAATCTCTTTATAGGCCTGACAGAAATTTGGCTACTTTTGCTTCTTGAAAGTATTCCAACACTTTCTTCAAGCTAGAAATATGATTACATCTTATTTCCTGTACAGACAAACTAAATCCAAAACTTCTGAAAAAAAACCTTCAGATACAGACTCCAGCTTTACGACTTACTTTAAGAAGATAAAAGAATGTATTTGGTTTTTAATAGAAAAAGCATTCCTTTCTGTTCTCTTCCTCATTTGTGGATGCAAACGTACAATCCGAATACTTGTCCTTATCAGATTTCTTTTTGATGAAAACATCTCAGTGCTAAAGCAGAGCTTATTAAACCATGGCAACACTTAATGTAAGTCAATTCTGCCACCTCAGTTTTGCAGCTACACAACCTAGAGTTAATTATATGATTTATACACACACCACTGTTTGTAAGATATGAAGTTAAAGGTTAAAAAACCAGAACATTTTCTGTTGGCTCTTCTTTTTCATAAAGAACAGCCAGTCCCATTTAAATCAAGGGGACATTTATACATTGCAAAGCAGAAGCATTTGAGAATGTCGCAGTCTGGTCCCCTTGCAGCATCATCTGCTGAGGCTGAGGAAATGCCATAAACCTCGGCTATCCAAAAATACGTACCATGACACAAAGGTTATTTTATTTACCTTAAATATATATGTGTGTGTATATATATATATCTTAGTCAGAACTTCAACTACTCATATTCCTTTCAAGATTACCAGCACTGACAAGAGTTTATTCTATCCAGTGATTTCACTGAGGTAATTTCTGCTGCTTTATACACACCAAGTTTGCCTTTCTCCTGGTGCAGTTCCATGCCAATGACACATGATGCTACTTACAAGGAGAAACAATGGCCAGAGGGGCTCACATTATAAAGGTGAACAAAACCTACTGTATGATTCCCAGCATGATGCATTCATTTACAGATCTGACCGTTTTGATGTCTATTTTTTAAGTAGAGGGAAAGTGTTTCCTACAGATTTCAGCATACACATTTTCTGGAGGATACCAAAGGCATTAAAGAAATATTATGATGGATTTTTTCTGCTTGTTACTGCAATACACCACAGAGCTGCTTGCAAGGCATAACTTTATTCAGATTTTGAGCTGCAAAATACTAGTAAAGACTCTATAATAGAAAAGAACTGCTGTGGGGCTTCTGCAAAATTATGCTCTTAAAGCTGATAGCAATACGTAACGGATGTGACAGACCCTGCTTTAAATCCAGGCTGACCAGTCACTTGCTTTTCTTTTTCTTTAGCACTCAGGCAAGTAAACTTTATTTATAAATAGAAGTGGCGTAAAGGATGAATCCTTTCTTGAGTACAGAGAAAAGCAAAAATTGGGGGTATCGTCCCAAAATTCTCAATACATGAAAGGACACAATTCACTCTTCTCACGTGTCCTCCAGCTCCTTTTTGAAATGAAAGCCTGTCCTAGTTATTGCTGGGTATTTCACAACAGCAGGTAAGCTCCATCCAGAACAGGCCAATCTGCTTTTTTTAGGTGCCTTTTCATCCCAAGGTCAGAGGAATGAAGATGTCACAGGGCTGATCTTTGGGTATGAGGACCTTATTTCTGTCCTAGAAGGAAGGTCTTCAAAGGCACCTCTGGGGATAAACACCTTTTCATTTTTCCTTTTTTTTTTTTTTTTTTAAGTTTAAAGGGAATTTGTTCAGCAAAATGTCTGCTGGGAAAAACTCTCTTGAGAAGACCCCCACCTCAGTCATTATGAATAAAGTCGTCAAGAGAAAATCCATCAATTACTCATTTTTACTTTCTTCTTTAAATTCTCCTTGGAATACCAGACAGTAAGGGTGAGACCCATCCAGAAAGCAACAGCAGTAATATTCTACAGCATTTCTAGCCAGTATGCAATTGTGACTCCATGAACTGCATTTGTTGGTTTCTGTGCGACCTGATTCCCCAAATGTGCATTTCTTCTCTTTGTTAAAGGAGCCAACTCTTTTCCACTGGAGTCTCCATTTAGGTTTGGTCTTTACTTAACCTTCACTGTGCCTACCTGAGCTGTTTTCATCTTCACCTAATTGCTTGACCACTTTACTGTGTTTGTTACTACAGCTTAGTAGCCCTTTGAATTATGCTATAGTTCATTTAACTCTCATCACGTGGTTCAGCGTCCCATGGAATTTTTGTCTCTTGCCAGCAGCAGTTATTTACTTTCTCTCTCTGCATTTTTCACTGCCACTGAAACATCATCTCTGACAATGTTCAACCTCCTCTAATCCCTTAAAAAAAACACACTGTTGGCTACTTATTTATTTCCAACCTGATATAAGCTTCCACAGAGTGCATGTTGGCAAAGATGCCAAATTTGTTTCCCATATCTACATGGCATGCTCTCATATTTCTTCTGGAGAGTCAAGCAAAGAAAAAAATGTTTCATTTTGCCTTTCCTTTCTTAATCATTGAAGAAGCCCCCAACAGACACAGCGTGATGAGAGAGGATTTTTACCTGCTTTCTTAGCTGATGACTCAATATACTCATTTCTTAGTGCTTGCACAAAAAGCTTTTGGGCGGATTTCAAGAATAGCAGGGAAAAACCTTTTGCTGCATCTAAAATGTGAGATTATTTCACTTACATAAGAGCTCTCTTTCATTAACTGCTTGCTTCTCTTTATTTTAATGCACAAAGCTCTACCTGGGGACACATTTATCTGGCTCTCAAACACCAGTGATCAGGTGGAGATGGGGTTCTATTTTGTTCCTTGCTTTAGTGCCATGCAAACTAGACTGTTTCAGGCTTAACAATTTCACATATCAGAGATCAGAGGAATTTTTTTTTCTTGTTGATGTCTGTTACTAATACTAGGTCAGGGCTTCAGAAAAGGGGTTTTCAAGTGATAGTTTGCAAGAAGATTGTCCTGGTCTCCTTTCTTACAGGTAGGTTAACAGAAGTTCATGAGAGGGTATGTCTGGAAGGGCTCTTCTGGCTCCTCAAGTCGCATCATGCTATTATACACTGCTGTGTCACCTAATATTCTATTCATAAATTGAATAAAATCCATCTTAGAACTGGTTAGGCTTTCTGACTTTTCTGCTCTTGCTGAAACACACTGCAGACCTTCAACCTGAAATATAAGAAGCTTAATTGCCATCCCAGTCTTATTGGTACCTATTTATACACAATGGTCCTTCTGCTATCATTGTCTTTTATCTCTCCTTCCCTTTTCAGTTGTTTTCTCTCTTTGGAATTTAGCCCTGCATTATGTTTATTCAGAAGAATAATAAGCTCTTGGCATTTTCATTAATAGACTAATCAAACCACACTTCTCTCAAATGAAGTATCTCCCACTGTACTGGCTTCTCTGCTCCATGATGCTTGGGTTTAAATTAACCTCTCCAAACACAGCTGACTGGAGCTATCTACAATACTCCAGAGAACTGCTGACCAGAATTCCTTTTCCTTCTGCAGTGCCCAGTTCTCTCCTTCAGCTAATGGAAATACCAGTTCATTGGTTCAGCGCTTTCTTTTTCAGTTACTTTCATATCTGGAGCTCCCAGATTATAGCTGCATTCCTACCAGTGGTCACCAGTGCATGGTCTTATATTTAATACTATTTTGCAATTATATTAGGTATTATATTAAAAGGGGTAAAATTAACTATACCAGGACTATTTTTCTAGAAAGAAAAAAAAACCTAAGCTTTTTTTCCATTATTATTCTTGTAAGTTTTATAGAAGACAAGAAAGCATTCTTATTAAATTCTTATACTTGATACAAGAACTATGTTGATGATCATTTTGATAACACTTGATGCTTGCCCACACAAATTCTTGCAAAAGATCAAGATCAAACCAAATAATGAAGATTCTTTGCCAAGAAATGTTGATTTTAAAAACAGAACACCATTTCTTGAAAAATAAATGCCATTCAAGACTTTCCTTTCCCCCCATTCAATATATAATTGGACCTAGAACCACTTACCTGGAAGCATTATGTAAATGGCAGCATCAGTGTGCTACCATATGTAACTGTCAGAACAAAGGTCTGCTAAAAATACTGGAAGTGGTTTTGAAAATGGATGCCAATTCTTGGAATTTCAGGCACCTAAACACATTTAAAACCCTGATTAGATGAATGGAAATTTCACTCTGAAGGGCTGAGCATTCAGATATACAATGGCTACATCTCATCGTGAATCTAGGCCAAATTGCTTTTGAAAATCTCGGTAGGGTGCTTATTTGCATTTTTGGCAACAGAATACTTTCAAAGATATGGTGGTAAGGCTGCCATCCATCAGACACTTCAGCAGGTGCTGAGATTTTACACAAGCACTTGGCTGAGTTTCTGTATTCACATGTTTAAAATTTACCATGCGCCTAGCTGCCTGGAGGATCAGAGACCATCTCTGCAGGTTTAGTCCCTCAGGGTTATATATTTGAAAACTATGGATCTGCCTAGTCTGCAAACAAGCCATAAGCTGACACACTGCACTGTTTCCTCAACCTCTTCACTGAAACTTTAAAAGCAATCCATAAACGTCAGGTAATATTTAACAGAGGGGATTATGGAAAAGCCATTTCCAAATGAGAAAATTGCATTCAGGTTTGTTATCTGCTGCCTCCCCTTCACATATATTACAACAACATATTTATTTTTCTAGTACTACTAGACAGATTATGGCAAGAAAGTCTTTTTTTTCTTTTTTCCCCTCTATAAAGATTGACAGCAGCACTATCTTAAAGGTGGTGGATGCCATATTGCTTATAGTATTACCAGCACAAATACATATGATGATAAGCCTCAAGGCATAAGACTCAAAGGATGAGTGTGTTTTTCTGTGACTCTCCCCTAACCTACTTGCTTTTGCTGACAAAACAGGACAATCGCTGCGCATGTTCATGTGGGATAGAGAAGTTGCATTACGCCAGCTTCCTCGGCCGTCTGGGGAGAGTCGAGGAACAGTCCCAGGTGATTAACCAAGCGATGGCTGAGCTAGCAACTCTTCCCTACCTACAAGACATCAGTGAGAAAGATGTCAGAATGGTAAGTATTTATTTCTAATACTTGTTTTGTCCTTTAGAGGCAGGAAGCCAGGGAGGGAAGGGCCGGGGCAGAGCATTGCAGTGCAGTTTGCTCTGGAAATCATTTTTTGACTGTGTGGACCTGAAGTAGTTTTAAAATCCTGCCGCAGTGCCTTGTCAGAGGAGGTGCTTATCACCTGCAAGGATGACTTTTATAAAACCAACATGACTCATCCGTAGGCATATTTTTAAAACCTCTTCTTTTCCACCAAACCTCCCCAGATCAGTCTGGGAAAATGATTGCAATTATTCAGATCTTTAAAACACATAACATCAGAAGCCACCTGCAACAAAACAGGCCAACCTAGCTAAAGCTGAGGAGAGGAGGGAAAGGAGAAAAGATTTTCTTTCCTGGCTCCATCTATGACTTGCTCCCTGTCTCTGAATAAATCTGTCTACCTGCTATGCTTTTGGTTTCCCTTTGCAAAATGAGGGCAGTGGTGCTAGCAGGGCTGTTGCAAGGATAGAGTCATTAATAGCTTGATCTTATATGAATAAGCTGCAATCAGAAAGTACCATATGATTGCTCTTCCAAGAGGCTGTCAGGTTTTTCTGATGGAGGAAGGAGGGAGGAAGTTCACATACATACAATTTTAAGAATTCCATTCTAGAAAAGAAATAAAGTCCCTCCAGAGTCCCTGTATTTAAATGCAGTGCGATTTTGATGATCCAGCTTCAGTTCACTAAAACCTGTTGGTTTTCCCAAAGCCAGTCCCTTGACATTTGTTTGCAGTCCTGCAAAGCTCATAAGCTCTGTAGAATTAAAGCTTCGCAGCAGCTTGCTTTAGGGAAGAGGAGCAGCGGCCTGCAACTGCAGGAGGTGGTTGCCAGACTTTGAAGTCTGGGTTTGAGATAAGGGGAAACGACATTGCAAAGAAACTGTGCTATTAAAAGACATTTGCCTTTTGATGCAAGTGTCCTACTATTAAACTTCAGCAGGCCCACATTTCAAGGCTGGCTAAAGGGTGTTGAGTTATTGGTACATATTTCAGTGATAGTTTTTTCTTCAGGGTACAATATGTTTAGTACATCAAACATAAAGCACAGGCTATTACGCTTTTGCCTGTATCTTGTCATGTAGTAATCATAAGTCTGACCTCCCTGGAAAGCTTTTTGAGGGAGGCTCCAGGCCACCCACAACATAGGTCCTCAGTCTCTTAGAGCTGGTTTGGGCAGAACAAGGGTCTGAGCTGGGACCTTTAAGTGGCAGCTTGTAAACCTTTCAACTAAACACACACGATTTGTTTACTAAGCCCAAGGTAAAAATGATTTTTAAAAGAGCAAAGGCAGAAAACCTCCACCAGTTACTCTGTCCAGAGCATTAAAATGTATTAATTCAGCATTCATTTCTTTTTCTTTGTCTTGTCATCCTGCTGGAAAAATATATATTTAGTCTGTTGCAAATGGAGACTCAGATGCTTTGTAGCTAGGGTATTTTAGTATACTTCAGACACCACAGTGTTAAGGCATAACACTGCAAGCAAGAACTTGCAGAGTGACTTCACCAGGGAGTGATTAATGGGCTTTACCTTTCCTGGTGACATTAGCCTGCATGGCACAAGCTCCTCCTATGCTAGTAAGGATCATTTGCCTACCACATCACAACTGAGACAAGCACAGAACATTAATGCCCATCGCTGGGATCTAGTGATTGGGTTGCCTTCTAGTGATCATGACTTGCTCAGCCTGCCTGTCATCCTCCTCATTTAAGTGGGGTCCAGTCAGGGCAAAACACTTGCAGGACTGTGCTATACTGGTATGACTTGGCAGCTTCCAATGAATGCTGCAGAGGCAGTCCCCCCATGTCCCTAGGCTTCTCTCTCTCCAGCAACATTTCTAAAACATCTGAATTTCTTCACGGAGAAAACTGAGCTGGCCAAATTCTAATCTCTTGTACTAATAAAAATTTCAAGTAATTCCTCCATGGTCATTCTGACTTTACAGTGGTAAAACTGAGATATGACTTTATGACCAAGCAAGGCAGTTAAATCATGAGTTAGAAAATGCTAAAGATGCCAAGTGTTTACTATCACATACTGTATAAGTTGTATAAAGTTTAAAACACACTGAATTTATAATAGTGCAATTTTCACTGAAACAGCAAGGATCTCAAAAGCATTTCAGGTATAAACTCTTCTGTGTAAATGTCTTCTGGTAACTAAATAGAGTCCTAATCTATGGCACAGAGAACCTCAACCGAGGCCTTTTTAGATCAGTATTTATTCATAGACCCTGGAAAAATAAAGATTTCAGTTAGGTTGAACAGCTGAATATAAGCGGGGAAACACTTTGAAGAACATCTTTCCAAGGTTTGTGATTTCAATGTCACCATATTTGTGACATCATAACTCATAACTCAAGATGAAAGCTTGTAAAGAATCATAAATCTATTTCAATATAAAAGCAAATGAGGGTATTTTTTTAAATGCAGCATTCTTCCTTTATGAAGATTTAAGAAGAAAAGAGCAGCTCTGGGAGAACTGCTTTGGTTGGCGAACTGCCTGCTCTGGTAGCATTTTGTCTGCCAATAGAGCAGGGGAGAAATTTTGGATGTTAAAAATTAAAACCAGAGCACACACTGGGCACTTTTCACTGGCATGTGTTGATATCAGCAAAACTTTAATTGCAAAGGTTTCTTGTTTTAAATTCTTGCTCAAAGCAGTGAAATCTCCAGCCTGGTTCAGCTTGGCCCCTTAGGGGTGACAACAGCATTATCCTGGTCCCTGGCTCAGTGGATGCTGTTCCACTACTTTTTCAGAGAGAACCACTCTAAGAAAAGCAATGGAGAAATCCTCCCCTTTCCCACCCAGTTCCTTCTCTGCCTGGTTTGATGCAGGATCTATGCTTTGCCCATTCTGCCCTTAATACCCTTAATCTCTGGACTGTGTCTATTCTGGATTCATAAAAGAAGATTATCTGTCATAAGAGTATTGTTATGGAAAATTTCTGACAGGTTCTTGACTCTTTTCACATTCAAGTCAGAGGCAGAAATCTGTGGGGTTTTTTTCCATGAATACTGACGCATGACTTACTTAAAAAAATAAAAGCTTCCATCAAAAGTTGGGATCAATAAGATTCAACTTGGTGGCTGCACAAGAACAGAGCAAGCAGGCTGGAAGCAACCATAGTATGTCTGTTGAGAGATTCAAAAGAAGATTCCTGCACCCTTTATCCAGTGTTGGGACACAGACAAAGAATTTTAACTTCAAAAACCTGAGTATGAAGGGAAACTTGAGGAAATACACATCTGCTCCTTGAATCTCAAGGCAGCATTTTTATACCTTGTGGAGATGAGCCTAAACTCTGATGTTTTAAGTTTCATGACCTTACTTATGTTAGACCACTGCCTGTCTAGGTACAGAAAGAAGAGACTACCTCTATGAATGTGTACAATTATACTTGGCCAATTGCTTATAATGTGTAACAATTTGGGAAGAGACACTGAAAAATTACTGTCTGGGTTCACTTTAACCAGCTAAACGTTTCAGAATAGACCTAATAGAGCACAGCAATATCACAGATATTGGGTCCACCCCCTGTCTCTCTCTGTTCCTGAATTAAGAGCAGTTGAAACATTCCCAAGTGTTTGGGAAAGATGCAGGGTGAGGCAATGCTGTGACTAACCTGGAAGGGTACTGTGGGAGCATTACCGCTAACCTGAATTTTAGCCTTCCCTCTAACCGTAAGGACTGATTAGCAAGTATTTTCCTACAACTTCTTTTTATAGTTTACACTAGAAATTGTCAGCCTTGTTTTTATGCTCTGTTATGCTGAATGATGGGGAGAAGGGAAGGTTTGCCAAAGAAAAAGGATAGTAAAAGCATGGAAAACGAGCTAGATACTTCCAGCTACAGTAAAAGCATCTCAGCTTTAGTGTTGTCCTCTTGTGAGGTTTTACATGCTGCTTTAAATTATGATACATTAGCCTTGGGAGAAAATACTAAAAAGCGTTCATGTACAACAAAGAATATCCCAGGCAGCTAAAGAATGAAATGTGGAGCCTTTATTCTCTACAACCCAATTCCTTTACTGAGTATAAACATTTACTGCATTAAAACGTATAGGCTTAAATACGAATTTTCCAGAGGATTTTTTTGCCATTGTTAAGTATTTTATATCCACAATAATACAGTGTAATGGCTGAAGCAAAGATGAGGTGCTCGTTGTGTGAAAAATGAGTAATAAAATCATCAGCATACAAATGATTTTTTAATTAGGTTTTAATCTGTGTATTTAGAGAAGTTATTTCTGTGTGAATTCCACACTGATAATTTTTATCTTGGTACCACAGCTGCGGTTGCTAATGGCAGATGCCATGGACACCCTTGAAGGAAGGAGTAATATACGTGCGTGGAATAAAATTCAAAAGGTAAAACCCTGCAGCAAAGGACAAGAGAGTATATTGTTCCCTGGGGAGTAAATGTCCACCTGAGTCGTATCTGTTCAAAAGGTAGAAAAGAAAGTATGTGCCATTGGATGCCTGACTGTATGCCTTGAACTCTGTCAGTGTTTAGGCTTTAGTCCCTATAGTTGAACTTTGTTCAAGTTAATAGTCTCATGTGGTTATCTAATGGAGAAAAAAAGAAAGAAAAACAAAACAAACCTTGAATAGCTTATTTTTGGCTGATAATTGTATTTTCATCTTTGTCATATGAGGTACTGCGCTAACTGGGGTGGGAAGTTGTTATGGAACAAAATTCAGCCCAACAAAATAGGTCCATTAGTGGAGCTCAAATGAGGCTTTGGTGGTGTGAGAGGTAAAAGACATGTAAATACCTTTCTGGAGTCTCTGCGCAGCAACCAGTCAATTTAATTCTTAAAGGATTTGTAAAATGCAGGCAGTCTTGTGTTGGTTCTCTGTGCAGATGAATCTGACAGAACGTAATGACTAATAGGTCAGGCTGGGAGGTAATAGGAGTATCTTATGTTTTTACAAACTCTTTCAAACCAGAACAAATCACAGCTCTGGGCATTCAACATTCAGCCTCTTCTGGGGAAAAGGAAAGCAATTCATTACCAGGAAGGTAAAATGTTACTAATGGTTCAAAGCAGTGGTCTTACCCCATGTCTTATGGCTCCGTCAGTTCCTAGACAGATGCACGCTTGCTCTGGGCTGTGGCTGCATCAGGAGGCTGGAGAAGAGAGGGTTTGAATTTCTGCGCTGGCAGAACTTGAAATTGTCCTTTGGGATTTAGGGTTCACAAACATGTCAGGGAAGATGCTGAAAACCAAACCCTGGCTGCACTGGGTCAGCGTAAACAGGATAAGCAAATAAGACAGAGGTGGTGTAAAGAAATCACTGAAGTGAAGGGTCAACATATTTTCAGAATCCATGTTTCCAAGTGATTTGAATTAAAATTTCTGAAGTCATCTTCTCTGAAAGAAAGCCTGAGTAGGTGTATTGCTTCAGTTAGCTGTCAGATCAGTGGCTGTTAATAAAGTTTTCCAAGTACAGAATGTTTTCAAAAAGTAAGCAAAACCCAAATGCCAAAAATTATAGACAGACTGGGTTTCATCTCTTTCAAGCACTCATGAGGCAAAACAAAGGATAAATATTCATACTGCTTTTACATTGTGCCAGGATAGTCTCCAGATCTCTCACACCTGCCTACAGATCATATGAGAATCTTTTGCAACACAAACACTACGTATAAGATGAATTATTTATATTCAATTACACACATATTTCCTGCCATATATAACTAATACTGATAAGTAGATGAATATATTATCGATTCGTAAATATATCAATGATATATTTACAAATAGACTATTCCTTGTACTTCTCTAGCACTTATTCTTTGCATTTTCAGATGATAGACTTAAATATCAAAGACATTTTTCCAAAGTTTTTCCAAAAGTCAGGATTTTAATCCACAGTTAGGTGTTTGAATGACCAGCCCAATTTTCACTGCTCTGAACCACCATCACTCAGAGGCTGTTAAGAGGTCATGGCTGAAAGTTAGACCAAGTACACAGATAACTAAATAGTTATTAAAGGCTCATCAAAAGTTTGTTGGTGATACCAAAAATATTCCCACAAATTTCAAGAGACAGTGGCTAGTATTTCATTGCAAATTCGTTAAGGCAAAGTATTTTCTTTCACTGTATTCTGATTGTAGAATCCTACAAAGAGCCTGCACACAGACCTAGTTACAATGTAGTTATTTGTATTTTTGGTATTGAATTAATTTACATATATTTGAAAGCAAAAGAGAACATTAAGGAGTTTATACAATCAGCTATAAATGCAAAACTCAGGAAAGCTGACAGCTACGTTACCACCAGTGAAGTTTGGCTTTTGCAATAGAAACAGCTGTTGCACCTAACAAAAGCACTCAAAATTTTTCTCTAATGCAGCAGAATTATAGCCATGCCTATTTTCCAAATGGTTAAAGGGTCTGTCAGAATTGCCATTACAAACCACTGTTTTCAGAGTTTTGTATTCTACAGTCAGCCATAAAAAGATCATTCAGGATGAAATTTGACATAGAAGGTACAAAGCCTGACACCCAAACACTTCTCCTTTTGTCATTATTGCTTATCAAATTAGTTTGAAATTAATCTGGGCAATTTTGGATTTGTAGGGCTGACAAAGTAGTAATATATGCATAGCTTCAAGTGTTTTGGGTGCTGCGCTGCTCATCCAATTCACTGACAAATTTACATTTTTAAGCAAAGTAATTTATCAGATGGGCTAATTTATTTTTGGAAGCTTTAAATACTAAGAAATTAAAAATGACCTTGTAATTAGCTGGAGAAAAGAGAATATTGCTGCAAAGAAGATGTCTTTCTTGGTATTACCAGGTCACAGCCTCTCCAACCACAGGGAGAGCTGACCCAGGAGAGCCTGGATTACCTGGAGAGATTAACATCTTCCTGCAGATGCTTTACCCATGTAGCCTAAAGAATACATTAGAGGCAGGAAAAAAAAAAAAAAAACAAAACAGTTGGGTCAGTTTCCCAAATCCCTATTATCCAGAATTTTAGTAACACTTTTCCTTACAGTCCCCTCGATAAAGTGTGAGATATGTATTAGCAGTCTGGGGAAGCAAGTCTAAGACCTTTGAAGTAGTTAATGCAGGGATTAATTCCCAGTCTACTTCAGGAACATGGGCAGTCCTAAAAAGCTTTTACCACCCTCCTGCTTTTTGTACTTGTCAGAAATTCCCAAACTGAACTTGCTGGTGGCCAGACTCCCGGACTTAGAGAGGATTCAAGGCAACATACTAGGGCTTAAGAATTTTTTTTCAGTTGCTGGCTCTGTCCAAATTGTGTTATAAGTTGAGTCACAAAGGCCCTTAAATATCACACCGTCAGCATTAGATGAGAATGGGCTAACTATGGATTAATATCTAACTATTAGATGAGAATAGCCCACCTAAAGCAGTTAATGAGAAATGTTATGGGAAAGAGCACCAAACCCTCTCTTTTAAAGAGGCTTAAGTCTTCATAAGTGAACAGAGGTAGAAATATACTTCTGGTTACTAGATTTTTAAGTGCAAATTCTCTTATGAATTCAAATTACATTTGAATTTATTTTTTTAACAAGTCTGACTTAGCTCAGTGGTTTAAGCAATGATCTCTGATTCACAAGCCTCAGCAGCAATGAACAAGAAACTTCCAAGAGAGATGGAAGGGACCAAATCTGATTATTCTACTCTGTCCCTCAAAATCCACTGCAGCCACTGGGTCTTAAGCAGATGGGGACACTAGCAGAATAGCCAGGTTATTGGCTAGCTTCTTTGCTGACATCTGATATGAAGATGAATGCTGAGACCAGTGGTAAAGCTTGTCCCTGAGTAACTCAAGGAACCAGGTCTCTGCATGGCCATTACAGAACTTTATAGCAGCTACAGACAGGCAGAGGAGTTCAGAGTATCTCAGATTCATAAAATACCAGGAAGGCTCCCGCTTTCTTCTGTAAGGCCTTTGCTTCTCTGCAGACTTGTAAAAGTAAAAATAAAGAAATAAAAAGAGATTACTTTCCTCTCTCATAAGTTCATTAATAAAGCCTCACAAAATTATAACAGTGAGAGGAATTACATTAAATAAATAGATACTTTGGAGACTATCAACCAGCAACTTTTGACATCCAGAGAGAAGAGAGCCATGTAAGTGCAAGTGCCAGTATGACTCTACTTCCCCTATGAAGATAATAAAGTAGTTCTACTATTTTTCTCCATTTAGCCCCTAGGCTTTCATAGCAGTTTCACAGGATCCTCTTAACATCATTTCAAGAGCCAAAGGAGAGACAGGAGATGGCAAATAAACACTTTCCTACATTTCCACATGTGAGACACTTCATAAAACCTTCACATCTGAGTTTACCTCAAAGGCATCACATACTTTGCAATTTAGATAAGTTATTATGCCCATCATTTGCTGAGCTTGGTGGAATGCCTGTTTCATAAATCTGAAAGCAGAGCAAACATGGATGAGGGAATAAAAGAACAGATGTAACTTACATAAGGATAAGTATATAACAAAAGCTGCACTAATATATATGAATATAAAATGAAATAAAATTAGCTTAACATATTATATAATCTTTTAGCCAGGCATACGGCTTTTCAGCAGTTGACCTCTGCTTACTACATCTCTGCTTCCTGCAACAGCAGAGGAACACTATCTGATGAACTGTGCTCTTCCACTGACATTATCTCTTAATTGAAAATCAAGCCATGGAAACGAGCCATAGACTTGCTAGGTTTTCAGTCAGCTGGAGGAGCAAGGAGAGAGATTCATAGTATGTTGATGGGAAGTGGACATGTTGCTGAGTAGTATTGTGCTGGCTGTTAGGACAGTTATTTGATGTATATGACTTTGTAACATCTTATAAAGTCATCGAAGTCCATGCCACAGCCACAGGGAACTGCGCTTGTGCTCAGAGCATGCGGGCTTCAAAAGGTGTGTTTTGGTACACTGTCGATTCAAACTTGGCTATTCCTGAATTAATAGAAGGAAACTGGTTCCTGTTTGTTGTCTTTTGGGGGTTGTGATGCAGCTGAGTGTTTCATGAATGGATAGATCTGTTGTGAAAAGGGGAAGCAAAGGATAGGAAAGGGTAGGAAAAGCACAGTTCTGGAACAGGAGTGGAAGTTTAATGTGTAATGTCTAACGTTCAATGAAGTCATAAATGAGCAAACACAAAAGGAAAATAACGTTATTGGCATTGGTTCAGGTAGACTGAGTGAAGTAAAATAAAAACAGAGGAAGCAGGTAGAAATGCAAACATTTTTGTTAAAGTTTACCAAAGATTGGCTTCATGCTAAGATAAGAGAACACTTATTAAGACATTCTGGAAAGGATGAATCAGCTTTGAATCAGCAGCAGCCTGGAGAGGGACAAGAATTTTCTGTGGCAGAT